ATAAAAATCATTTCTACCCTACAACTAGCAGCTTAAGCTTTTAAGATAATAGATTGTTAAACAAGTCATCATAGCCTTTACAACTAATTATAAAATTTAGATCCTCAATGCTCTCGTTTTCTTAATTTTAATTTCAACACAAAAATAAGTGGGCCTTTGGAATATACGCGTTTCAAGGAAATTGGATATTAGCGAGTTACCATAGCCTTTATGAGAGACGGTAAAAGATAGATCTACAATGCTCTCATGTTCTTAATTAACTGGCAACAGTAATTAATTACAAAAGGTTCTATTATAGAAAACTTAACAGCTAGTTTCAAGCACTCCATATTTAATCTGAATAATAAAATCACAACTAAAAAACTGATGTTTTGAAAGAACCAAGAAAAAACTCAACTTCATACAAATTCCAAAATCAAGCATTGTGTTTTCTTTGGGTGGGGAGATTTGAATAATATTTCAATATATAAATATCTCATGAAATCCAAACTCATCATCGCAGTGAATGGCAACATCAAAGAACTTCATGTTTTCTAACAAATAAAAAGATACAGAACCACTGAAATGAAGAGAAACATCAACAAGCATTCATAATCATTTGTATGGAAGGTACATCTCATAATTCATAGTAAACTTTTCGCTTTGTTGCACATAAAACTAAATACCCAATGAGCAAACTCAGGCAAGGAAACAATATAATAAAAAGTTACCACAAATCAAAAAGGGAGAAGGTAAGAAGTTTACCTGAGGAAGAGGAAATACAACAAATAGGTCGATAAAAAGATAACTCTTCAGATAATTAAGAGCAATTTTCTTGGGTTGGTCAACTAAATCTCCAGCACCTACTACCATTGACTCAGGAGAAACATAAGCCAGCCTAAACTGTAAAAAGCAAACAAGACTATAAAACTCAGAAGTCCTATACATGTGCTTTTCTTTTCATTTTGACCTGAACTAATTATAAAAAAAGGTAAGACATACACAAGATGCGGCAACATATTATGAATAAGGTCAAGGTCCAGCATTCTATATCATCTGAGTCATCATTTCATATTTCTCTTCCAGTTTGACACCATATTGCTAATTGCAAAAAATTTAAAAATACAAAAAAAGAAAAATACTTTTAGGTTCGTATCTAAGTGGAAAAAACTCGTGCTACTAAAAGATTTTCTTCAACAAATGTGGCAATAGAATGAATGGATGAACATTTGACAGGGAAATATTGAAATTTAATGCCAAATACCCTGAAGTATGTACGGAGTTGCAGCAGTACAAATAATTACAATAAATATCTTTGGTACTTGGTCCTCCACCAGATGAGAGTAAGTGCGTGATCTTCATTTTCTGAATGTAAACAAGATTGAATTCTAGTTTAATTTTTTTTTTCTGGTTTAAATATGACTGTGCTTGTAGGTGTTCATTTTAACCTGGATGTTTAGGAAATTTAAAGGAAGTGTCATAAACAATCTCATGCATTGGTTAGCAGTTACTTCAAGAAGATCTGCATTACTTTATGACGCTGAATGCTACAAAGAGATATGTTTAAAAAGCTTTTTACTAATACTTTAAGCTGGTCCTGCACACATGAATCTTTATCCATGAATCATCACATGCTCATTTATATCTGTGTTTCCTTCATGAAGTCTACAAAATATACTCTACTTCCACCAGATACAAGTTGTTGCACTCTATCTATTAAAATTGTCTACATGCATTTCTCCAAAACAAAAAAGACAGTCCAACCTACAACATGAAGCACTCTGTATCTTTAAGTTAAAAGTGATCTATACCAAAAAACAAGATAACTTCTGTCATCCCGCTTCTTTATATACAAAGACTTGAAGTTTAACAGGAAATGCTTAGCGCACATGACGGAGCTCCAATGATCTTATTATTCCTCTAGTGAATATTTATGTATGATTCAAAGCAACAAAGAACCTAAACCCTGTTATTCTGTTGCTAGAAAATTCTTTTCGAATACATTTGACAGTATATTTACCTTCTCAAAAACAGAAAAAATTAATAATAAACACTTGTTGACAAGGAAGGATCTTAATCATATAATTCAAGCTAACGAATTGGCATCATTATTGTATTTGAACATAAGGGTATGGGGGAATTCTAAAAAAAGGTAGTTACTGAGAAATTACCTGGAGAAGAATGTTAAAGAAATATATCAAATCATTAATGCTTCTAAAAAAAACAAGTGTTGTTGTCATTGTCCAATTGATAGCAATACATTTATCATCCTGCACATATCAAGTGGAAAAATATAAAATTGCAGAAATAGTAGCAGGGAAAGACAAATATCTACATGTAGGAAGATTTAATTAAATAAAAGGAAAAGAATCCACACCTCCTTCACATATAATAAGAAGAAAAATAATGGATCAACAAAAATTGCCACCAAGCAAAAAATGGCCAAGATCTTGTTCCATTGTTGTACAACTTTTGCATGAGGATTCATAACTCCAGGAACATATGAATAGCAGAAGGAAAAAAATTTTCGGCCAAAACCATTGGCATCTACATAAAAAACATGGTGGAACTGCAAACATTCAAATTGCAAATGAAAGTGACTTTGGTTATGAGAGTGACAGCAGACAAGTGTCTATTAAAACAAATGGAAAGGTCACAAGAATATGAAGTGCAAGGATACAGAAAAGTCTGCGATCGTAGGAATTTAAGTGTTGCTAAGTAATGAAACATTGTCTGTTGACAATACTTCTACTGCCCCCAAAATGGACAATGATATCAACAAAGTTACAGCATAACTCAATCAAATGTCTATAAATCATTAGGTTAATTAAATCATCTATCGTGAACACCTGAATTTGGTCAGAAAAAAGAAATGAATGTGCAGTACAAAATCACATCTGTCCTATAAATGGCTATGCAGCATATAGTTAAAGTCAACTTCAAAACATAGAAGACAATGTTTTCTTAAATTTAAGGAGAAATCGAAGTACATTTTAGGAAGAAAAGTACCTTGGGATCAAATATAGCTGAAGTTTTTCGAGTTCTTGGCTGAGCAGCCTTGAAATAAGTGGGGCAAGTAGTACAATAAGGATCATTACACATTCCCAGTTGCCCAGACCTCATTAAGTGTTCATTCTTTCTGTCATAGTCATTATCCCAACGATTTTCATTTGTGCCATTGAAAGTAGAAAAGTTTTCTGTCTTACTTTCCACTACTTTGTTTCCTGTAGCAGCTATATTCTGTCCTGAAAGATTTGAAGTTCCATGGGTAGCATACAGTGGACCACTCATCTGCACAAAGGGGGTTTTTCTCACACTACGAAGGGGACCGGTATGTCCCACAAGACTAGTTTCTTTCTCATATGATTCCAAGGAAGCCATGGGAATCGAAATTGAAGCACTTCGTGTTCTAGATACTAGCCTCCGGAAATTAGAATCCACGAATTCATCAGACAGTTGAGCACGCGTTTCAGACAGCATAGGAACCTCATCTTTTTCAAAACGAGCCATGTTTCCCTGGTGATTCTCCTTTTTTTTATTAAACTAACAAAACATCAATATATACATTGTGCATCACATCACCAATTTTAAAGCAAAACAATCCTATTTAGCTCGAAACTTGAAAGGGCAAAGCATAAATTAATGTAAAAAACAGCAAATGAAAGACCAAAGAATATCTGTTCCTAAAGTAACAACCACAAAAGATCCTTGTTCTAAGAGGCTGAGAGTTAATTATAAAATGATATATTTGTCTACACATTTTGAAATTTTCTGATTAACTTATATCAACAGAGAAGTGACAAATCCCCTTATCTTAAAGGAAGTAACCAATTACTAAATTGACCTAAACTGACATTACAATCATTGAAATTCATCTACCATCTTAGTTTTAAGAGAAAATTTAACAGTTTCCAAACATATTTATACCTTTTCGACAATGTCCCTACCTATACACACATGAGTGCGTGTGTTTAAACTTGAAATTTAACACACATACACCAACTTAAAAACAATATGAAGCACCATGACCTATTGTGACAAATTGCAATTGGGGTCAGGAATCAGTCGAAGAATTCCAGTATAATGTAATAATAATCAGTTAGCCCACGTTGCAGAAAATGCCATGAACAATGAACAATAATGAAAAAAAAAAGCAAGAGAGAAAACAAACCCAGAAAGAGCAAGAGCTGGTTCAAGAGGAATTGAATTCCCGGTGAAAACCCCACCAAGAATTCAAGTTGAAAAATGCAATTTTGGGAGCTTGGTGATCATGGAGAGAAGCAGAAAGCTGTTTCCAACAGAGAGAAGTTGAGCTCAGAAAACAAAGTGTGAAAGTAAACACTTAAATACAAACAACCGTGTGAGAGAGAGATAGAGTGTGAAGAGAAAGACTTTGAGTGCTTGACAAAGTCAATAGTGAGATAATTGAAATTGTCTGTGCGTGTTTTATGTTTTACTTTCAAACACATTCCAAACTTCCATGTTCATAAATAAGTAGCAGTTTCATTTTAATAATACGTAATAACATTGTTTTAGATAATGATGTTACTGTTCGGTAATAGAAGAGTAGCTTTATTTATCGAGGAAATTCTAGGATTCCCTTTTCAATTTTTTCAATTTATTCTAAATTATTAGTACTTTTCTCAAAAAACTATTAGTAGTTAAAATATTATAGTATACATTTTCATTATAAATTTAAAATATTTTATTTATATTATAACTTATATTTTAAACATTTATTTATTATAAGTGTCATTATATGAAGCAAACATTAATGTTATGCAGTACAAAGAATAAAACACGGTATATGTCTCTATTATCAATATTTGAAACCTGGTCAATATCTCAGTACTTATTTTTTATTAATTACTCCAAATCTATGTGGTTGAAATGGTAGGAGTTTAATGTTCCAAACCATCATGGTCTAAATTTTCTATGAAAATATATTTTTAAACTTAAAATTGACAACTTTAGCGTATATAACAGTTGATTTAAAATCAAATTTAAAAAGCAAAAGTCTAACTTTATGGGAACATCTTTAACCAAAACATGAATATAGATTTACGTAGGTTGAGTTGAGTTATATTGAATTATGTTAGGATTAGATAAATTTATTCTCCAGTCAAATAAAAAAAAATCTCAGAGTGAAGTTTAATTGAATTTTTTTATTTTTGAATTATATTTAATTCAATTTTTGAATGGATTAGATAAATTAATTTATAGATTATAATTAAATTTGTAATGTTAACTTATATTTTTTACAGTAATATTTTATATTTACTTATATTTAAATATTTAAATATTTTAAAAACATACATTTAATTAATAGAATAATAAAATAAATTAAATAACGATGATCTTACTATTTAATCATTTTAATTGGATTAAATTTCAAATGTTACTTACATAATTAACTATGTAACTCTTGAAAAACTGGATTAGGTTTAACCTAATTATAAAAAGTTTAAATTTATTTAAGTTGAATTGGTTCATCATATTATTTCATTTCTTTAGTAATAGATATAACAAAAATAAAGTTAAACTTGATGTGCTACCCAGTATTAAATGATGTAAAAAATAAAAAAATTTAATCTATTTGTATGTGATATTAGATTTTTAATGAAAAAAAAAAATCAACCCACCAATCCTATGATCTTATCATTCAACAGGTTAGATAGTAAAATTCAACTTATTTTTTAATTAATTGATCAATCCAAACTTGACCCTACCTATTTTCGACAAACCAATATTAAGTTGGACTTAAGCAAACCGTATTGCCTTGTATTACCACCCAAAATTATCAGATAAACTCAATCATACGTACGTGTCTGTATACATATATTATACTAGGAGGCCTGCATGCAAAGTGATAAAATGTCTTAATTTGGGACGTTGAATAATGTCACTTCTTAAATTAATAACCAAAGAAAAACTGGGTCAAACACGAAATCACAGCATTGACTTAACAATTTTTTTTTAATATTTTTGCCAACAACATTTTTAAACAGAATTACTTTATTGGATGATATTTTTTGAATAAAATTAAAGATTTTAATTAAAAATTTGATAAATAATTTTTTATTTAAATAAAACTTGTATAAATACTTTTAACAACGTCAAAACCAAATGTAATTTGTAAGGAACTAGAATATATATTAAATAATAAAACAAAGGATTAAAATGAAGAGAAAAGCTTTTCTTTCTATTATGAAAAGCGTACAACTTACAACTTAGCAATTTTACCAAATTGTGCTCACTTTTTCTAAAATCATTCTCTCTCTCCTTAGAAAGTTGCTTCCCATTCTCTCTGTCTTCTTTCTACCATTCCCTTACATTCACTCATTGCATATTTGATTAGGTGGTGCTCAAGTGACTACGGCACAAAGAGCTTCGTAACCATCCGATTAGATTCTCGTTTTTCAGCGGATAAGTCGTTTTCCCTTTTTCCTCCTCTTTTGGGAACCTAGGGCATGTAATTAGAAACCTTCTCCTTTAATTTCTTGTCAAAAATTAGCTCTAAAGAGTTGTTCTATCACCCATTTGGTGGTTAATAGGGTTTGGTTGAGTTCTTGCGGAATCAAGCACTGTTGAATCAAGTTGTGAGCTTAGCTGTGAAACCCTAAGGTAAGGGGAGCTAAATATTGTTTTCAATTTGCTTGCAGTATTTGTATGTATGTTAAATTCCTTAATGGGTGTGCTGTTTGGTTGGCTTGTTTAAGCTCTAAAGTAAATTGGTCATACATGTTGATGCGTGTGATGTATGAAATTGTAGCGTGAGGTTTGTAAACTGCATTGGTTGAATCTAGCTACTGTAATTGGGCGCGTTGGAAGTGCTTGGAGTGATATATCTGTTATAGCTTGAATGAAATGGAAAGTTAAGTGAAATTTTGGGGTTTTAAGGCAAATTGGGGGAAGTGAGGTAGTGATTTTGGGCATTTGGGGCCTAAAGCGCAATTGGGTTGTTGGGGCAATCTTAGCTAGTGTATTGTGACTTGTTTGAGTCACTAAATTGATCAAAATAGGTGCAAAGCAGTAGGATTGGGTTTTGGATCCCTAAGTTGGGCAAATTGGTGTTTTAGAGTTGAAATTGAGTCTTAATCACTTTAGAATGGTAGTAGGAATGTTTAGAATCATTTAGATAAGTTTAATTAAGTATAAAACAAGAATTAAGGGTGTTAGAAGTTAGTAAAAATGGTTAGAAATAGTCATGTTGGGTTCTGTTCGCAATTATGTAGAATTCTGCAGAACGCTGCAGTTGACTGTTCGGTCTTGTGCTGCTCTCGGTCATAACTGGGTGGGTCTCTTTTGAGTCTTACCAGTTCATGACCGTTCGGTCTCCTAAAGAGTGTTCGGTCTTGTACTGACACTTGGTCTCTTAAAGAGTGTTCAGTCTTGTACTGGCACTCAGTCTCTTAAAGAGTGTTCGGTCTTGTACTAGCACTCGGTCTCTTAAAGAGTGTTCGGTCTTATAGGCACTCGGTTTCTTAAAGAATGTTCGGTCTTGTACTGACATTCGGTCTCTTAATGAGTGTTCGGTCTTGTACTGACACTCGGTCTCAAAGCTCTAAGTGTTCGGCCAAAGCTCTAAGTGCTCGGCCAAAGCTCTAAATGTTCGGCCAAAGCTCTAAGTGCTCGGCCAAAGCTCATAGCGTTCGATCTAAAAGCTCTAAGTGTTCAACCAAAGCTCTAAGTGCTCGGCAAAGCTCTAAGTGTTCGGCAAAGCTCTAAGTGCTCGGCCAAAGCTCATAGTGTTCGGTCAAAGCTCTAAGTGCTCGGCCAAAGCTCATAGCGTTCGGCCAAAGCTCTAAGTGCTCAGCCAAAGCTCCTAGCGTTCGGTTCAAGTTCTTTAGCTATTGTTTTGGGTAAATTAAGTGTGTGTGATGATTTCCGTGTAAAGTATGATTGTTGTAATGTGAAGGTATGATGTATTGTTGTGTTGAAAGTGAAAAGTATCAGTATTGGACGTAATTCCATGATCCTCAAGGGAGGGATACATGGTGGTGCCCTTTTAGTGTGTTTAGAATTATTTGCATGGAAGCTCAGTCTTGGGGGTTATCCTGAAACTACAATGGTCAATCATTCTCAAGTAGAGAGGATTGAACCATGTCGTGAGTAGTAGCAGGAGGTCCTAGTCTTGGGTGCTTCTAGTATGGTCCAAGGTGAGTGATGACGGACTAACCTCGTGAGTGTGGTAGGGTGAAACCCATTGACAACGGCTTTGCAAAGCAGTAGAAGCCACCACAAGTGCATGACCCGTCATAGCTCGGCAATCATTCTATGTCCGGACGAGTCAAGTTTAAGTGCAACAAGTCATGTTTGTGTAGTGTAGTGTATCTGTCTTTACTTGCATGTTGCATGTGACTGTTATAACATGAGTTTTGTATATCTAGCTCACCCTTGCTTCTGTGTTTGTGTGTTGCTTGTGTATGCTTTTCTTTTGCAATGATCATCTACTTGGATGTGAGCAGATGTTGAGGAGGTGTCCCTGGAACAAATGCTGGAGGACGGGGATGCTGCAGCTTATTACTTCTAGGGTCTTAATTAAATTGTATTATTTTGTAAATATTCTATAGTAATCCTTTATGTTTAAGTTTTCAAATTTTAATGATATTTTAGATGAATGTAACCTTAACTGAACTAACAGTCTTATTTCAACTATTCTATTATATTAAGATGATGACGTCTATAATATATTATGTTTGCTATATAATTGGAATGTCACGTAATTATTCTTAAAATTCGTATTCCAGTTTTACATAAAATTCTCCGGTATAAGAGTTCCAGTTTTACACCATACATTGTCCAGTTTTAATTTGATGAAGTGTGTTTAAAATATATGTTTTGCTTTTAATAAAAGATCCCTTGAAAAATCGGAAAGTAAATTACTTTTTACTTCGTAATTATTCTTTTACAATGCTAAATATTTTTATAAATGTAACCATGAGTAAAATAAGGGTGCGAAAATAAAAATATCAAACATCTGTTTAATAATATAAAGTTATTAAAAAATATATTATAAAATAAATAAAAGATTATAAAATCAATAAATTCAAAGCAAATATAATATTAATATAGTTATTAAAAAAGATAATTATATTAATAAATTATATACAAATCAATTACAAGTGATATGAGTTTTTTTAAAAAGAACAAACTCTTATAGAAAATAAAGAACTATTTTGGAGCATAAAAAACATAAGGAATTACTCTGCAACATTTCCACCTTCTATGAGAGGAATGTCTTTATTTAACTCTGTGTCTCTCACACCTTAGCAAAATAAACAAACAAAATATATATAAGCAACACAACACATAATAGAGTATAAGAAACACAACACACGATAAAGTAAGATATTGTACAAAAAGAGTTAGCCTAAAATAAATTAAATTATATTAAATATAAATTAAAAATGAATTATATATAAATAGTTAACATTAAATTTAATTTA